AAGAAGAAATTAAGTTTACTGTAGAAGGAAAGGTGGTAGGGTCGAAATAAATAGTCTACGTTGACACATGGATTCTGAGACCAGCTAGATTGACACATGGCAAGCTTTAGCAACACCTCAGTGAGGATCAGTTTATGGAGGCGATAATTAGCTGCATTATTCTATACCAGCAAAACTCTTGATGCAGGAGGTTGTTATAAAAAACACTGATCGAGGAGGTGGCCTCGCCAATGGCTTCCATGAACCAGGGAGGCTTGGCATTAATCCGACGGCCCAGAACAGAGGAGGAAGCAGGCCAAAACGTCAGAAGATAATTGGACCGGAGGGTAATATCACGATGCAGGCTGCATTAACTGACTGCATAGAGTGGGCCATATAGACTGAGTAGGCCTTAATACTCGAAAATATACACTAAGAAATAAGAGGGGCAGAGGGAATCTAGAAGAGAACAGACACCTGAGATAACAGGAGCAGCTGTGCTCGCGACCAGATAGGCATTTTCGTTAGCTAAGAGCCTATTCCCTCCGTTCCAAATTACTCGTCGTGGTTTTAGTTAATTTGAACTAAAACCACGACGAGTAATTTGGAACGGAGGGAGTACTAAACAGGAGAATCATACCTCTTAATAGGCTTTCTACTTGGCGCTCCTTGAAACAATGCACCGTGAATGGACACACCCACAATATCTCTGTTCTTGAGGAAATTTAGTTCGTTGCTCATCTCCTCAGACCTAATTAGAGGTTTTAATGCAGTTTCAGTGCAACACTAAATAAATAGCCATGAACAGTTTAACAACGGTTTTACTTACAAGGTTTGGGTGGGTTCCTTCTCTAACTCTTGTAGAGTTCTTGAACTTCCATACCCATTTGGAGGTGTTTTCAGAAGCTCATTCCTCTGTGAATAATTGAAGTGGTAAGGTACAGTAGTCTTTTTTTAAGCAACAGCTTGTATCCCTTACGAGGATAAGCTAGCTAAATCGCCAATAAAGTTATGTAGTTAAGTAGTTTTGTAGACCATGACCATCCGCAGCTAAATAAGCTGTAGTGGTTATATGAGAAACCAAAAGAGATGTGTATACCTTTTCGGTAATATATCTTTGAAAGTCCTTATTCTCAGTGGCAGACTTAAAAATGCCTAGTTTGAAAACCTGAAAAATTAAAATGATTTTAAATCTAGGAGAACACATAAGGAATATTTAAACACAAAAGTGTAAGAAGAACCTAAGAATTCTTATGCCATAAGTAATACCAACCTGTGCTTTATACACAATCTCTTCAATAGTTTCCGAGCTAATTAGTCTATAGATAATGCACTTTTTCTTCTGCCCCACACGATAAATGCGATCGGCACTTTGGTCATCAACACTGTAAAGATTGTAATAATTATTATCAGATTTATTTTCTTCCCTCAAAAACCATAAACAAAGATCAAAAAATATTTTTCTAGACATGGTTCACTATTTAGAGGCAGTAGTCATACACTGTTACAGTCAAACTTAACAGAATAAATAAAGCATTCCATGCTGCAAGAAATAATATACCATGGATTCCAGAATGGCTCCACAATGATTGCTCTTGAAGCAATATGAAGATCTAATCCAGTACCACCGGAGAAGGAGGAAATTAAGAAAATAGGCGCTCCGTCAGCTTTTTTGAACGCCTGAACAGTTTGAGAGTAGGAATAAGCACTTTCAATAAGGTACTAAGAAGAGAACTTTAAAAAGGTACCTCGATCCTCTTAGCTCGTTGTTTGTCACTCAAACTTCCATCTATTCGATCATGTACATATCCCTTTTTAACTATCACTTCCTACAGGATAAGAATTAAATGTGTGTACCCATAAAGTAGGGTTGGCACTTAATACCTCAATGGCATCCAGCATTTCGCAAGTTCGAGAGAATATCAACACTCGAAGCTTTTGCTCATTAAACCTTTCCTGTAAGGCATTAAAAAAATTTACTGCACTGTTTCTTTTTTGTACTGGTAGCTAATGGATATATTAATAAATTACTCCCTTTGTTCACAAATATAAAATGTTTTGGATATTTCAATATGGACTACATAAAGACTGAAATGAGTGAACAAATACACTAAAGTGTGTCTATATACATCCAATTCACAAAAAAGTTAGAACGTCTTATATATGTAAACAGAGGGAGTAGACTTACCAGCAACCTCACTATGATATCAAGTTTTGAAGAGTGATGTTCTTCAGAAAAATGTCTATCATCTGTAGATGTTCTGCTTCTTAATTTTTTTACCATGCATTTTAGAACAAATCTCTGCGTACCATCTAGGTCTTCTTGACTTATCTTGTCCAATTTAGTAGGATGGTTGCAAATTTTTTGCATTAGCTGTTTAGAAAGACAAAAGTAACAGATGTTAAATTTATTATATTAGTTATGTTCGGAAATACTATCACAATAATTCATGAACATTGAATAAGCATTTGAATCGAACATAAATACAGCAGACTATCACAAGCAACGGCCATTATGTGTATCGTAAGTAGTTACAGAATATTTAATGATTATGTTGTATACCGTTGAAGCTACTATCATTTCTCCTGGGTTGTTTTTTCGAACAATACCACCACTCAGAAGCTCTCTGTATAACTTCTCCTGCATCAAAATAAAATGTTAATAAGGAAAATCTTACATGTTCTAAGTCACTCTGTATCCATATGATAAAATAGTACCTGATAAGGCGACAATCTAAGCCAAACGACAAACTCAACCTTTTCAGGTAAATTTAATCTTTTTTTCTCAGGCGTATCTGTAGATGATAGCACATTTTTCAATCTTCTCAAGAAGCAAGGACTGAGCAGACCTTGCAGTTTCTGTGAAATTGAAATTGTCAACAAAGATCACACATAAGATGCTAAAATTAGAAACATATGACTAAATCGCATATCCACGGGAACATTCAATGAAAGTAAAACCAAAGTATAGAGAAATTAGAAGTTTGCACTTTGCAAAAATAACAAATAAACTTCAAGAGGAGTACCTGCGAAGCCTTGAAAGACTCATTCAGCTGCTCTGAAGAAGACCCCTTGTAGTTTCCTTCGACAAGAGGAGCTAAATAGTTTTCATGAAAGTCCTTCACAGAACTGAATATTCCTGGGCAGCAGAAGTTAAGAATTGCGCGTAACTCCTGCATTTTCCAAGAAAAAATGATTTAGAAAGAGGAAAGAAAATATGTGATATTATCATACAAACATGGTTATTAAGCCTTTAAAATCAAAGTTTTTTGTGGTTGTTGTTTAGAGATAGCATTCTTACCAAGAACAATTTGTTAGAGAGGTTGGTCTGGCAGTAAGAAATGTAGGTTCTGTAATGCTAATGAAAATATTTATCATTTATTTATACACTGCTCTAGCTAGATATGTTTGGGGTGTTGTAAACTGTGCTTTTGGTCTTAAGACGGACTTTACTTCGGTACAGGAGCAATGACGTATAGGTGGATTATGAGGGTCCCTGTGAACCCCCACCGACAGCCCTGGAAGACTCCATCCTTATTTTGAGAGATGATAGCCACTGCTCCTTTGACCTGCACCTTCGCATCATCAACATTGAACTTCATATAGTCATGTGGCGGTGGAATCCACTGGGGTGGTCGTTCCATAGAAGAAGCTGCCCAGCCCCGCCTCGGCGGTTGAGCCAATTCTAGTCCCGCTCGTAAGGTTTGCACAAAACCAAAATAGTGAGCGAGCTCTGAAAGATCTCCTCGTGGATTGCTTTTCTACACACCCCAAATAACCTAGAGCACCAATAGTGAACTAGCGGGTGAAAGGCGTGGAGTTTGGCATGCCAGTGCCTGTTGCTAGTTTTTTGTCTTACTCCCTCCATTCCACAATGTAGTGCCTATAGATATTTGTGCAAGTCAAACTTTGCTAACTTTGACCAAGTGTATAGAGAAAACTGTCTACATCTACAATATCAAACATGTACATTCTGGAAATATAACTCACGATGTATCCAATGATGTGCATATGGTATTCTAGATGTACCTACTTTTCTCTATAGATATGGCCAAAGTTTGTAATGTTTGACTTTTGCAAAAATCTATAGGCACTATATTATGGAACGGAGGGAGTATATAGTTTGGTAGGGGCAGTGTTGTAAACAGGTGAATGGGAATGCATTGTGTGTTCGCAAGTAGATTCTACAATCCTTCCGGCCTATTAATAAAAAAAGTCGGCAACTCAACTACCGCAACAAAGCAAGGTTACCAGCTCTAATAACAGAAGCACTAGCTTGCAGTAGGCTTAGTGGCTGTGGTGTGGACAATATGGAAGGCTAGGAATAAAGCTTGCTTTGATAAATGTTCCCCTAGGATCCTACTAGTGTTATCGTGCAAACTTCTCACTGGATGACACTTTGGCCTGGGGTACAGAGGCAAGGATTACGAGGAATACAAGTCAAAGGCACAGAATTGTTGCTACAGGCGGCAGCTGAGGCTTTTAGCAGAAATAAAGGAAGGCACCTGCAGTCCTGGGGCTGGTATGGTGAGGTGAGGAAATGATGTGCTCGGATGCTGGAAAAGAGGGGAACGATGTGTATGCTGGCTTATTGTCATGCTCTGCTGAAGTTAGGGTTTTGTTGTTTGTTTACTTTCTCATGTTGAGTGCAAATAAGGTGCCTTCCTAGTTAAATCATGTACTGTGATGTGTGGAGAGGGGTTTTGTTGCAAGCAGAGGATGGTCCATAACTATTTGTAATTTTGTATTATTCACCCTTAAGTAGGAAAAAAAATTACAAAGATGGTGAGAGCAAACCTTCAACCCATTCGGTGATGGAGTTCCAGTAAGGAGTATTCTGTGGCTACAATGAAGCCTCTGCAAGTTACAGTATGACTTTAATGTCTCCTTTTTGCAAGTAACATGAGCCTCGTCAATGATCATATAGTCCCACGGCCCCTTCAGCACTGACCAATTATTAGTTGCTAGAGTGTGTGTAGTGATAAGAAGGCCCCCAGACTGCAATAAAAATATAAGTCATATATAACATTTTATTTATGTAAAAATCTACTGCTGCAGTCTCTAACTATGCTTCTATTAGACAAGTGGCCAGATAACCATACAAATATTAGATCTAGACTAATGGGATGTAACTGGCATACTCATGTCTTCCATGTACTTTGATTTAACCCCTAACTTCATAATGAAAAAGATCACGGTAGGGATTTTTCCCTACTGTAGTTGGTCAAAAAAAAAACATACAAATATTCATGGCATTGAAATCCTTTTCATTAAGCAACTTTTTATAAATGTTTAGCCCTTGGTTTCAGGTAAAATTGTGCAACAACCATCAGAGAAAAAGGGTATGATCATTATGATAAAAAAAAAAGGGGGGGCAGCCCCAGTGCATGTAGCTCCCGCTTGCGCAGGGTCTGGGGAAGGGTCCGACCACTATGATACACTAACAAAAATAAAAAACAATATTTATTATGCCCAGATTTCTCTCGAAGCAATAAAACACCTAAATTTGACGGTGGATCAGGGCGTACCTCACAAAACTTGGCAAGCTCCTCTTTCCTTGTTTGTTTATCCTTAAATCTGTAGAAGAAAAGCTAATCAGACATGAAATGCCGCAAAACAGATGGGACAGAAAAAACTTACATGTGTATGTAGTTCTCTAGGCCAAGATCAATCATTTCTTCAATCCATTGATGCACAATGGCTGCAGGAACAGCAATTAGTGCTGTTTTCATCAGCTTTGATTCAAGGAGACCTGCTAAAAATGCTAGTATCTATACCCAGAGAAAATATGTTAGGAAGTCGAATCATATGCCTAATCATGCAAAAAAAAATGTTTCAGAACCAGCACCTGTTTAGTCTTGCCGAGACCCATATCATCAGCTACTAACCCTCCCGTTCCACGGCAATGGATATTCCAAAGCCATTCCAGGCCCTCCACCTGATGCGGGAGCAGCTCTGTGAACACTTCATTGCGGAGTATAAAAGGTCTTGTCACGGTAGATCCTAAAGGCTTGAGCGTAAAATTTGACACTGCCTCCTCTCTGACCCTTCAAGGAAAAAGAGATAGAACGATCACATTTTTGAATATTTTGGTACGCAAATAAAAATTACTTGCAAATAGCAGGAGGTTTTTCGGAAACAACATTCAACTCTCTAATCTGTGCTGTCCAATAATTAGAGTTGTGTTTAGTAAGGTGAGTGGCTGGGCAGCTAGTGCTACAGCACAATGTCAACATATCATTTACGCTCGCTCAACTACCACCTTTCTAGTATCAGCTTAATGTTTTAGCTTTTAAAGTTGAGTGCGCTAACAGATTATGCTTAATACCTACAGAGAATAAAAGAACCAGGAGAAAACCAAGTTGGGTGCATGTTACAAAAAAACAAACAGAAAATCTAATTAGTGTATGCAAGCACCACTGTCTTGCGGTGCCTCCAGTGCGTCGGCTCTGCAGTTAATGCGCTTGTCCTGCATTCACAAGATTCTATCCTGAGTTGCACCTTACGGCAATGGACCATGCCTACAATGCCACATCCTAGCTAGAAATAGAACTATAGAAGAAGCAGCCTGGGTGAAAATAAATGGGTCAAAGACATGGTTGTTGAGCTAGGATGAAAAAACTGTGACTAGTGCACACACTAATAGTTGCAACTACTCATGTAGCTCCGCCCCATTCGATCCTACATTAGCACTAACTGGATGCTATGGGATGTTCCATCGCTTTTTACAACACGTCTCTCTTGGTCATTTATATGTTAGGCTTTACAAAAAATGATGGATGAAGCTCAGATCGTAGAACACAGTAGAACCACTATAGATTTACCTATGCAAGTAGTATTTGAGTACAACTACAATAGTAACTCATGAGGATCAATGTGGATGAGGTTGTAGCAGATCTGTATGAACCGCACATTACGTGGATTGGATACTAAAGAAGAACTCATATGCAATGCCCAGCCCACTTAATAATAATCTCAACAAAAGGGGGTGCCGCGCCGTTGTGTTGTTGCTTCCAAAAACATATACAACTCTCACTACGCACCTGTTTCGTGACTTGGTATAAGACAAAGTAGCATGAGTTGGAGGAGCAGTAGGGCCCCGGCTGATCCGCCGCGCGTCCGCCATAAATCCCGTAGGCTGTGGCCTCTCAGCCACCTGCTCCTTGGCAGGTTGCTTGCCTTTGTCCATGAAAGGAAGTGCTGCGCGGCCGCTCGAGAAGCTGCATGTGGAAAATAGAGGAAATAAAATGATGAATGAAGCTCGGACCCTAGAACCACAGATATAGATATACACAATCACTGTAACCTCACTCGTGAAGGATCACGAGGATGAGGTTGTAGCAGATCTTTGTGAACTGCGTATATACGTTGATTGGATACTAAACAGAGCTCATATACGGGCAGTGTGGCCATGGTAATTAGCGGAGGCATTGTTCGCAAAAACAGGAGTACGCAACTCCCAGAACGCACCTGCTCGATGACTTAGTACGTGACGAGCTGGCGCAAGTTGGGGGAGCGGCGAGGGCCTGGCTGATCCGCCGCGTGTCCGCCACAAATCCTGGGTCCGGATCTCCCGCCATTGAGCTGCGGAGGAGATTGGTGGAGGGCGGCCGAGTCTTCCCGCCGCCGCGCGAGGAGGTGACAGCCGTACAATCGGACTCGTCTGTAACGGCCTGCTTGCCCTTGGGGGCCTGGGAGCCAAGGCGGCCGCGGCCGTGCGAAGGTTAAGTGCGAGTTTGGTCCAGGTCTCCCGCCATTGAGCTGCGGGGGAGATTGGTGGAGGGGGGTGGAATCTTCCCGCGGCCGCG